GGCATGCAAAGCCGCGCAGGCCTGATCGTAAACTTGATAGCCTGTGCAACAAAAAGATGACTGTTGGACGACGATACCTGTAGCCCGGTTATTCTAAAAAAAAAAAGTTCATATTACCTCCCTCAACTTTCGCGAAAGTCCGTTTTTCCTCCTCAAACTCTAAAACCGGACAAAACACCTCCCTCAACTTTTAAAACAGTTCATCTTACCTCCCTGGCCCTGTTATAAGCGGTTTTGAAGACGGTTTTGTCTTTTTCTTTTTATTTATTCTGGCTGAATCTTTAAAAAATCATAGTAAATCACAGAAAAATCATAAAATGGAAAATCCAATTTTGTTGGACTCCACATAAGTAGATCTACATAGTGAACATATAATATAGTATGCTTTAATACAAAGCTTTTGCTATAACTTTAGATCTAGGCTTTTCTGTAATTAAATTAAATAGAATAATTCATAGCTGCAGTTTCTATGGTTCAATTATGATGAAATTTTTATGGTGAGCTAACTATTGTATGCTTAAACTATAGTAAAAATTTCATACTCATTGGATCATATATAACTTAGTTATAGATTTTATTTAGATTTATGCTTGTTAAATATAAATAAATCTATAACTAAGTTATGAAATTTTTACTACACTTCAATCATACAATAATTAGCCCACCATAAAAAATTTATCATAATTGGATCATAAAAACTGCAGCTATGAATTATTCTAATTAATCACATAAAAGCATAGATCTAAAGCCACAGCAAAAACTTTGTACTAAAGTATACCATATTATATGTTCACTGTGTATATCTACTCATGTAGAGTCCAATAAAATTATATTTTCCATTTTATGAGTTTTCTGTGATTTACTATGATTTTTCAAAGATTCAACCGAAATAAAGGAAAAAGAAAAAGACAAAACCATCTTTAAAACTGCTTATAACAGGGTCAGGGAGGTAAGATGAACGGTTTTAAAAGTTGAGGAAGATATTTTACTCAGTTTTACTCAGTTGTAAAGTCCAGGGAGGAAAAACGGAGTTACTTTTTCCTATTCTATCGTAAGTGGGATGAAGCAGGCTGGCCTGCCATTCCCACACCCAATGGACAGTCGACAAGGCCTTAAATCCCGCAGAGGCCTGCAAATGCCATTGGCTTCTACTAGCAGATACCCGTGTCTGGGCTACAGCAGCCTCCAAATTTTCTACGCAAAAGAGTGAAAAAAAAGTGGGTCAAACTAACAGACAACTACAGTACTTGTGTCTCAGCTTAACAACATACGTACTAGTTTAAGCCACATTCAAATAAATAAACATCAACTTTAGTAACAATGTCAAAGCAAAATGCATAATAGATAAAGTTCTCCACAACTCTCTTTATTCATAGTTTTTTTCCCCACGATACGGCTGGATGCAGGAATCATACGCCACCGTTCTCCCATAGTATTTGGTCATCCTGTGCAGAAGACAAACGTATGTAATAAGTTAGAATTACATACGACCACGAACGCCGTATTGTGCTCATCGTGCAAATGGCTATGTTACCAACTTACCATTGATCGCCATTAGATGATCATTTATATATTCAAGCCATCTTTGGATTCATATACAAATGCAACGTAACTCATCTGTGCACATTCCTAAACTATTTCTAATTCTAATACACGAGGACATATGCCAAAATATTTTAAGGAGACATGCAACCATTCCACCGTTTCTATAGGCTAGCTAGCTGCCTGCAAGAGACAGCTATACAATAACACTTTTGAGTCACCCAGCACATGAAAACTCTTTGTGGTTATAGTCTAGAGGCTTCCCATCTTATCCTAACCCTTTTTGTTAGGAAGGTTACTGTATAAGGAAGCATATGATAGTGTCATTTGTGTTGTGCTTGGCCAAATCCTACTGCAACATGCTTGCTTTTTAACTAAACGGTGTCATTTGCTTGATCAAATTCAACTGCAGCACGCAATCAGTTCAGTTACCAGCAGAGCAGCAACAAACGTGCCCCTTTTTTTTTTGGCATAGAGAGGATCTAGGGCCCAATAATTTCTTCATGCATCGAATAGGGCGATATTATCAATGTGCTGGACTGTATGGCATGAAATTTTAATAAATTATTAGCCATGTGATGGTGTCAGTGAAAAGCATTTTGTAATTGCTACTTAAATCCTGCACAGTGCACTTAAATAAATTAGCATCACGTTTGAACCATTAGTGTAGTCTGACCTTAGAATCAGCTATCCAATGACTGAACCATCTCACAAAACAAAGAATGATGCCCTAATAACAGCATCATTCAAAAAGCCAGCATGCTTACCCTTAGAATCAACCATCCAATGACGATTGCAGAAGGTAATAGTTGGATAGGAAAGGAAATTGATATCTTGTCACTTTGTCAGAACAATATAACTCCCTACCAAAGTGGGATATACAACCTGAAAAAATGGTAATTTACCAAGTATAAGTGAAAGTTCAATCAACTGAGTCACGGGGTGATGTTACAAGACAGAACAAGACTAAAACCTCACTTTGAGTTTTGAAATCACTATCAGCACCGATCAATTAAGCAAAGGCAACCAGCTCTGAAATGCCAAAATAATTACTCATATGTCCTTGACACTAAATGACAAAACAACACCCCCTTATGCAAGGGAAAACTTCTCTATGTTATCATTTGCATTGATTAAAAAGAAGTTGACTGCTCCTTCCATTGGAGCAGATATGGTGGATGTGAGTTCTGTCAGGACTAATAGCAGACAGCATGTAGCAACAGGTATTACATGCAATGATCAGAACAAATATTTTTCAGATATTTTGTATATTTAAAATAAAAAGGGTATTTTTCTGCCAGTGCAAACCTGTTTGAGAGATTTTGTAGGAGACTGGGGTACTTTCAGGTTCTGTGTATCCCAAATTTTCAGAACACTGTCATACGTTTATAAAGGCACAATATCAGTATTTAAAAAATATATATAAAGGTTAATTACTCTACAAGAGAGGAAAACAAGCAGAATTAGCAGATAGACAATCTCAGGCCAACTTATCATCAAGTAGGTGCTTCATGTTCACAGTAATACAACAACAACAACAAAGTCTTTAAGTCCCAAACAAGTTAGGGTAGGCTAAAATTGAAACCTAGCAGAAGTAATCAAGGTTCAGGCACGTGAATAACTGTTTTCCAAACACTCCTATCTAAGGCTAAGTCTTTAAGTATATTTCATCCTTTTAAATATTCTTTTATTGCCTCTACCCAAGTCAACTTCGATCTTCCTCTGCCTCTCTTTACGTTACTATCCTGGCTTAGGATTCCACTACGCACCAGTGCCTCTCTTCATGTTCACAGTAATATCAAAATGAAATGCAAGCCACATAAAAACACCGAAGATAGGTAATAGTTTAAAATGCAGAACAAAACAAAAATGGAAGAACATGATGAAATGTTTATCAAAACTAAGTGAATGAATGGCATGATAGCTATTTCAGACTTGCAGTGTGTCCAGTGCACTTCCTATTTTTCATAAATTTACAATTTAACTTTCAGATTTAGACAATTAGACCTGAGAATGGATGCACATCCAAATTCCAAACGTAGGAATCCAGCAGAATATGGACTAAACCAACGCCCCTATCCAGTCCAGTCCTCATAATTAATAGAAACGTCCAGTCCAGTCCAATCCAACTCCACCTAAGTCCAATACATCCAACACAATCCAACTAACAACCTGTTTGCCACAAACGCGTGCACAACCTAGCACACCTTGGCAGTCCAATACTAATCGAACTGAACTTACAGCCTTGGTTCTTTGCAGATACTAGTTCAGTCAAACTGAACTGGGACCTTCATTGATCAACTGCCCACAAATTAGCATCTAAAGAACCATATTACAACTGAACTGAACTTCCTCCAGATACTAATCCAAACTCTACATGGCATCTTATTCTTGCTGAAAAAATGTAACAAAAAAAATGATTTCCAACAGGGAATGTTTGATGATCTCCTAAGAACATTATTGTCAACTAGGTTGGTTGTTAACATCAACCAGTCTAAACATAAAGATCATTAGAAGAGTAAAAAAAAAGAGGAATCTGAACCCAAAACTGGCAAATGCAGAAACAAATATTTGCCCTTAAACATACCAGGCATTCATCATTCATACATCACATGTCTGCTCACAAGTTGCAAGCAAATATAGCAAAAAACTTTAGAGCAACTGATATATCTTTTTTAACTTAATAACTGAAACTAAAGCTGTATATGCTAATCAATACATCCTTTCGAGAAGCAAATCAGTAGCCATAGTATCTTTAGAACTTAAACAAAAGAATTTAAGCTGTAGATGCTAATTTGTATGGGTATGACGATAGACAAGCAATGAGTATGGGGAAGCTGTTCACTAAATCCTCGCATCCATGTGGTGAGAAACTCAGCACTAGTCAATTCTGTCACAGTTCCTGCACCAAAAAAAATGAGGTGTTCACAGGCATTCCCAAAATAGTGCTATGATACGAAGGATAATAATTGACAAATAAAACACTAACATACTATTCTGAGTGAACGCCTGCTGTGAACAGGTTTATTTTCACAACAGTAACAAGATGAAATAAACAAGACAAAAATACCTAATCATAGAAACAGGTCATAACTAGGCATATCATCAAATTTAATTGCATATCAAAAAAAATGTTTACCAACGCCTGCTGTGAACACGTTTATTTTCACAGTAGTAACAAGATGAAATAAACATTAAAACATGACAAAAATATCTAATCATATAAACAGGTCATAACTAGGCATATCATCAAATGTTAATTGCATATCAAAAAAATGTTTTACCATCTTCATCTTCATCATCCGATAGGTAAACTTTGAGCCAATCCTTTGCACATATGAGTGCTTCTACCGTTTCTGAACTTAGAGAATTGCGAGTCAATTATTATGCCAGCAGTGCTGAATGTCGATTCAGAGGCAACAGTTGACAATGGAATGGCCAAAAAGTCGCGAGACATCTTAGCTAGTATAGGATATTGATCTTGGTTTCTTTTCCACCACTTGAGCACTCTTCACCATCCCTTGAAGGATATTCCAATACATTGATGATATGCCAATTTTGATCTGCAATGGATGCAGATGCCATACTGGAGACCTTCTCCAACTTCTGCGGCCTGAATTCTGTACAGCTTCATCAGGACCCTCATCAAGTAATGCCAAACTTTCGCTATTTGGCATCCCTCCAGCTGACCTACAAAGAAAAGTATGTGAGCAGATCGCAGAGTCAATAAGCATTCCCAAAACAATAGTGCTATGCTATGCAGGATTGCAGTTGGAAGCTAACAATAAAATCTGCAAGCATATTATTCAGATGCTTTGTCTATTTCTGGTGACAGAGTGTAGACAGGTGCATAAGAAAATAAACACAAACAAATTTTTGCTCAAGCTAGTACTGGTGAGTTAGGGTCCGTTTGGATCATTAGCAAAATCACACTCGCCTAATAGTTGGACATTCACCATGCTACAGACCTAGCAGATCCATTCTCACTCATCAAGTTGACTGCTGCAAGGTCGATGTGATTTTCAGCAGCAACCATCTCATTGTATCTGTAAATTACCTGAGAGCAGAACAGTTACTACTTGATGTCAATGTGATTTTGACACCCAATACCACAATTGTACTAGCTTGTTCCTGGACACGCTGCATAGTTAATTTTCTAGATAAAGCAAGCTGGAATCGGCAAGCTTGCCCAGCTGAGCTATCACTCACCTCAGCAAAGCTACCAAATGGACCCTTGAGCTCAATAGCTGCTCCTGCATTTGGCCATAATATGCCAAACTAGCTACATCAAGCAATCATTGTTGCACATGTCCACTAAAAATCCCTATTGCATATATAAAACTACAAATTCTATTAAAAAATTAATTTCCCAAATAGCACCTACTTATCTGCTATTTTCTTGATTTAATAATGTTAAACAAAACCAATCAGATTGTCTTTGTTTGTCTGTCTTTTAAATTCAGAATTAGGATGAGCTAGCCCCAATTTCTACTCTGTAGGTTTTTCTGCTGCATGCCAACTTCCAAGCAGACTAAAATTGAATGTATTCAGAGGAAATGGCTCAGGTGTTTCAATCTCTTTGCATCACATAACTAAAACTAAATGGATTGGCATTACGATCCACAAGAAATCAATAATAGATACTGGTACTACGATTGACAAGAACTATGATATGGGGGGTAGGGGTACTTGAGGGCAGCAAGCATATGGACCTTCAAATCGAGATGGAGGATACCGAGAAGGGGTAGGAATGCCGATGGTATGTACTTGCTTCACCTGCACGAGCGCCCCGGTCAATCGCGACACCTCGCGCTAAGAGCCGATTGGCAGAAGTTGTTCGCCCTAACAGCCTCGACCCTTGAATACCTGGAGAGCAGCTGGTGGACGTGCTGGCTGAGGAGGATGCGAAGAAGGCCACGGTGCAGCACTGACAGAGCTGGCTGTGAGAGCGCCCACCCTGCGACAGCCACCGCCGCCGCAAGTTCGCTGGCTGCCCCGAACAGGAACAGATGTCCAATAGAACTTGGATTACCCTGTTTTATTTATCCGACAAAATCTAAAGATATTGGATGTACAGGGAGTCCAAATCCAATAAACTCCAGGTGCCAAACTCCAATGGATTTTGAACTAAGGCCAATCCATTCTCAGGTCTAAGTACAATACTGCATCTAGTCACTATCTTAGCACCATTTATTTTTAAAATGAAGCTACAAAGACAACACCATATAATCCTAAAAGAGTACCATTCGTAGCAAAGGTTAGATATATCTGAAGGCAAAATGCACTGATTGTCGAGCAGCTTTAGTTGGGTACGAAAATCACGTGCATACTTAAATGAAGTATATTTATAGGACATAACCCTGCATGTATTTGTTTTTGACTTGTGTGAATCCTCATACAATTATTTACATATTTGTGGGAAATGCAGCTGGAATATAGTTTCATAAATGGGTGCAAGAATAAACTACAGCAGATGAAGTATTAGATTGCTTGAAACATGCAGACGATTCCTCTCTACTGAAGAATCCCACACCCCCAAGTAATACCCAGCTTGTGTACTCAGTTCATGCTGCATAGAAAAGCATTGACCTTTCATTTTGTACTCCGCCCAATGGCTGCCCAATTATGTGGTATCCTTTTAGGAATTAGGATCTAGGCCTAATACTTTTCCAAACTGGTTGAGTAAGGTCCTGCAGTATCGAAGTAATATTACGAATCGGTTTAAACACAAAATACCAAAACAATGAAATCCGGCCATTACTTCAAAATAGTAGATTATTAATGTGTCGGCTGACTAATTTTGTTTTCACTCTCATGGTACAAGTGACATTAACTCATTAATTATCACATCCAACTATTTTTGAAGTGGCACACCGCACAACATTACAGTTTACAGTTAGAGACTTCAAAACTGCGATATGAAAAAGTTTATGGTTGTAATGATAAGCTGAAGCTTCAAAAATCCAAAGCCTGGAATCCAAAATTCCGAATGTAGGCAATGTTGATGTAAACACAATAGCTCTGTTAAGGAAGATGGCTGGCCAAAACAACAAATTCTGAAGAACTGAATTACTGAAATTAAAAGAAAAACTGCTTACCTGCTACGCTAGTTCCTGCCCGTTTGGTGTTTGCCTCTGCGGACTGCAGCTCTGCTGCCGGGTGCCGGTGGCATGCCTGCTGCAGCTGGCTGCGGCCTGTGGCTGGGGGCTGCCAGCTGGTTGCCTGGCTTGGCCGTTGTACAGCCTGCGCCCTCGGAGCTGCCTCCTCCTCGCGGTCCGCTGGAGCCGGCCTACGCGCGCGGATGTTCGTCTTCTACCTCCAGTTAAATGCGTCCCAAAATACAAATGGCTGGCTCAGAAAAGCAGGAATGAACGGATGTTCGCCTTCTACATCCAGACGCCCTCCAGTTTGCCTCTAGGCTCTAGCCCCTCCAGTTCGCCTTCTAAAAACATTTTCCTTCAATAACTTTGTACTGATATGCAAATATATAAGCACATAAACAAGTGACAGGATTGCCAAAGCAATTGCATCAATAGTATATCATTGTACTCCATTCCAAATTATATAAAATGTTTTGGCTTCAAGGCAGGTGAATTGAAGCCCTGAACTCTACCATGTTACATACATGTACTCTACCTGAATCTGCATGAAACATTCCACTGAACAAAAATACATCCATGTTGCAAACAACAAAAATAGAAGCTTGCAAAGTTCCAGTGCTAGATGAGTAGAATGAACTTCAAAGTCAATTTAGAGACTCATAAGTGAAGTAATGAACTAACAGCATGCTGATCACATTTGCATGGTGTTATATTACTTGTATCATCATAGTTATAAATGCCATCCACAAATGATTCGATGATGAAATGAAACATAAAAAGGCACACAGATACGTTGATATATGTCTACACATAGATAGAACTGGTAGAACAAACTAGTAACGAACCCAACAAATAATTACTCTTTCTAGCTAGGTACTTGCAATTGATCACACTTAATTTGCATGGTGTTATATTACTTGTATCATCATGGTTATAAAAGCCATCCACAAATGATTCCACAATGAAACATAGAAGTGTTAAAACTAGTAACAAACCCAATAATTACTCTTTCTAGGTACTCCTGATCTACTGAAATCCCATGACCATGTCTTCTTCCATTTGCTCCTCGAGGTATCAGTGGGAAGCGAGCTTAGACATCAACTCAAACAAAGCAGAAGGGCAGCTTTTCACCAGATGCTGGAACCCATCGGTTCCCATCACTGCGTCCAGCGATTTCGATGACTTGAGGAACTCATAGCAGGCCTCCTTAAGCCCTCGGCAGCCATGCTGGTCAGCCAACGCTAGAGTGGTCGCTACCGTGGTCACGTCAATGTGCCGGCATAGCCTGTCCTCGCATATCAGCTTTAGCCTCTGCATGCCGTACCTGTCTGCGGCTTCAAGCAAATGCTGCGACATTGTGGCGCCATCATCAGTATTACCTTGTCCTTCTGTCTCCGGTGGCAGCGAGTCCGTGTAAATGAAATGCAGCAAGCTTCGGAACACCTGAGGTACCATACCATCAATGGTTACCGGTACGCAGTTCTGATTCTGTGTTGTGGTGCCTTCTTTCATGGGGCCTAAGAGCATCGCATCAAAGACTGGCGACCGAGCAGCGAGCACGCACCGGTGCGCCGCAAACGTCTCACCCCCGACAACAAACCTCACATCTGCACCCTTTCCACCCAGGAGGAGTTCGCGGAAGTGCTCCGACCAGTCGGGCGGCGGAACCGTGACGAAGGAACTGGCGGGGAGCCTAAGCCTAGCAGCCTCCGCGCGGGGCTCACTCAAGACGATGATGTCGCACCTAACCGTGAAGCAGTCGTCCCTGAGGCGCTCTGACTGCTCCAGCTCCGTCCTCTTGACGAATTTCTCACGGCCCCAGCTGTCGTGACTGTCGAACCTGTCCGGCTTGAGACCACGGACGTAAGACGGCCTTTGCTTATCCACTTGGTCGATGAAGCTGAGCACCAGATGCACCATCAAGTGCTTGGCGATGGTTTCCTTGAGGACGAGATAGAGGGAGATGTAGTCTTCTGTCTCCGGGCAGTTGCCGTTGGGGTAGTACCTGATAGTCCAGGTGTGCCCTGCGACGCGGAAGGGGTGGGACTCGACATGCTCACCATTGGGGATGGTAAACTTGGTGCCCGAGTAACCCTCGATCCTGAGCACGTGGAATCCGCTCGCGGCGCCGGCGACGATGGCGGAGGCGAACCTGTCGTCGCCGGCGATGGGCACGGAGGGCGAGACGGTAGGAGCCATAGTCGGGGCGCGGACGAGGGGAGCGGTGCGCTCGAGGTGGGATGGCGCGGACGAGGGGAGCGGTGGCGCGCAGCGGGGCAGGGACGAGGTTTGTGGTGGTGTACCGGTGTTGGCGGCGGCGGCGAGGGAAGGTAGGGTTTCGAAGTTTTTCAACTCTTGGCCAGTGCTGATAAAAAAAAAAAAAAAAAAAAAAAAATCTTGGCCAGTGCTAAACTGCTAAAAATGGTTAAATCCTGACCCGTACCCATCCTATTTTTCACATTTCAGTTTCCGTATATTTTCAAAAAAAAAAACACACAAAACAAAACAGGTGAAGCTGGGTTAGAGCATCTCCCACAGTTCACAAGCCCTTCCTAATCCATGTTTTTAGCGAGATGAGAAAAACATCTTTCCAATATCTCCTAATCTTTTAGAACTTGAGAAAAATCACCATATTCTGCGTAAAGTTACGCGCTTCCGAGTCGCGCGTATCTTCTCTAATGGTTCCTGATGCAAACGTATAGGATAGAAAAATATATAAAAGTGGTTATAACAATTTAGAAATAGTATAGGATTTCTGATATAAAATTGTCTTCTATTTTAGGAGTGCATTATTAAAAACTCTGAGGTGGCCTTCTTTATTCTTTCTCATACTTTTTTAGAGTTATAAAACTCCATGTTTTTGAAAAAAAAAATTGAGTACTTTTAGAGATGCTCTTAGGATGGAGATGGAAGAGGGTCTATTTTTCTGTATTTTAACTCAAAAAATTTCTCATATTTAACTCGTCTTTATCCAATCTGAAACTAGGTGATTTTCCCGTGCTTTATAGGGTTTTTTATTAGTACCATTATAATTTTGCGAGTTTGAAAAAATATCATTACTATTCGTCTATTTGGAAACATGCCATTACAATTCTTCATCAGCTTGAATCGTGCCATTTTCTACGTATTCGACAGCGTTGGGCACACGCGCAGGTGGCTAAAGGCCTATGTGCCGTGTATTCTCGTATGTTCCAACATACCCCTATGTTTCTCTCTCCCTCCACTCGTTGACGTGTGGGCCCCACACGTCAGCTTCTTCAAACTCCCGCCGGCAATGGGCGTCTCCTGGAAGGCATCACCCGCCATGCTGACGGCTCCCCTGGCCACCCCGCTTCGCCCGTGGGGCCCTACCAAGCCCCGCAAGGGCGCCGACATCCTCGTCAAGGCCCTCGAGCGCTGCGGCATCAGCTTCGTCTTCGCCTACTATCGACGAAATCTAGTCGACAGTCGAGCGAGGGGTATACCCACGGTAGTAGATGAATCGGTGGATGTGCGCGAGATACGAACTAGATGGTGACATAGAACGTAGAGACAACGATTTAGATAGGTTCTGACCGTCAGCTTGACGTAATACCCTACGTCCCGTGTCTTTGGTGGATCGTATTATGAGATGACGTAAAAATGAAGGGGTCTCCACCCGCCTTATATAGCTCAGGCGGTAGGGTTACAGGTCGGTTGAATCTAATCCCGATCAGTTACATGATATGTGTTTACAAGAAATACGATATCTAGCATATCCGATCAGATTCTCCTTCGTAACCAAGGAAGCTTGACGCGGTCTTGCGGCGCACGCCGACCTGTGCCGTGCCCCGCGTGGCTTGATCTTGTGGGCTAGGCCTCCCCTAGCGGCTCAGCCCATGTACAGCCCTGTGGGTATTGGGGGTTATACCCCCACATCTAGTCCCCGAGCGTCTAGTATCCGCTGTGCAACACTGTCTTGAGCTTGTCCGAGCTATCCAACTCTCTACTGACCATCAGAAGTAGGCTTCCGACTAGTTTGACTTGGAGCCGAGCTATTGAAAGAGTCATCTGAGCAGTTGAACATGCATCTAAGTAGTCAAAACCGGTGTCCGAGCAGTCGAAGCATATGTCTGAGCAGTTCGACCAGGAGCTGAATCGGGACTTGCTCAAAGTTAAGGTTTGTCGGACGGATGTAAGGTGCTCAAGTGAAAAAAAAAATTGAAACCTTCACCTCAGGTGAAGTGTGCCCACTTAGGTTCCGGACGACGAAGTTGGACGCTTAGTGTCCCTGACTTAGTCAGTGAGGAGGAACTTAGTCCCTTGACGGCGAAGACAGATGCTTAGCATCCATGCCTGAGGCAAAATTGACTCTTAGAGCCAAACGGAGAGCAGTGACGATAACCATCCACGACTTAGTTGTTTTGAAAAGGACTGGTGAAAACTCTAGTTTGATTTTGGTGAATTAATGAAACCCAATATGCTAACCTAGTTTATCAAAGTGATCATGAGATAGATAGCACTATTCCAAGTGGTGGAGCTATGGTGAAGATCATGTTGATGGTGTGATGGTCATGGTGATCAAGTGCTCAGCTTGGAAAAGAAGAAAGAGAAAAAACAAAAAGCTCAAGGCAAAGGTAAAACTTGATAGAAGTTTTTTTGGTTTAGTGATCAAGACATTTAGCGAGTGTGATCACATTTAGGATCGATAGCCGTACTATTAAGAGGGGTGAAACTCGTATCGAAATGCGGTTATCAAAGTGCCACTAGATGCTCTAACTCATTGCATATGCATTTAGGATCTAGTGGAGTGCTAACTCCCTTGAAAATATTTGTAAAAATATACTAACATACGTGCACAAGGTGATACACTTGGGTGGTTAGCACATTTGAGTAAGGGTGGAGAAGTTGGTGAAGTGGAGGAGATGTTTTTCACTAACCGGATGTGGCAGAACCGTCCGAAATAACACACCTTCGGAGGCCCTCGTCTTCCACTAGACTCTAAGCACCACAAAAGCAAGCTACATCGGGCGGATTCCATCGAGCACACCCCAAGGGAGAACTCGAATAATCCATATTTTTTTTCTCTAGGATCCAATAATGAGAACGAGTTTACAATAATTAGTCCATTTCATACAATAAGAGTTCTTAGAAATACACTATTACAGTACCAAGTTCAGAGTGCGGAATTTAAACAGCAGAATTACAATAAACATTTAACGGTAGAATGCAAGGATCCGTCTATACTCACTAGAAGAATCCTCCACACAACAGCTACCCTTCAAGATGCACCTGCAACAGGGTAAATAAACCCTGAGTACACAATGTACTCACAAGACTTATGCGACTAGTGGGAATAATTTTCCGACTCCAAGGATATGATAAGCTTTATGGGTTGCTGGGTTTTCTTTTTGCAAAAAGCAATACTAGTAGTAATTCTTATGTCTGTGTTTTATTAGCAGTCATGATTAGTTCATCAGCTAACCAATCTATGTAAGCACTTGAGTCTCGGACTCAGTGTGGTGCTTAGACCTCCACCATCTTTGCCTCCAATCAGTCGATCTAGAAAGAGCTAGAACCAACGACAAGAGAGCAACGAGCCTTCCCTGCTCCCATAAACAAGTATGTGCTCAAGATAATAAGTCTGTGACTTGACTAAAACCCAATACAACGGGCGGTCCTTGACCGACATGGACAGGGAAAACAGTGTAACCAAGCTATGCCCCATTGGCCGCTGAACACAACCTCTTACACCCACCAATACTCCTACCATATCCCTGCACGGTCTCCATTTTTCCTTTTACTATTTTACCATAAGAGTGATAATAATAATCACCTATTATGAGTAACAGCAGGTTACTCACGCTATCAAAAATCCTAAGCATAGCAGCTACTCGCACCTGTACTAGTAGAACTCATATGATAGATATATTTATGTAGGTGGTTTCCATAAAATGCCTATAACATAAATGCACATTATAGATATATATATATTCAGTGATTATTCAAAATAAGGGTTATGCACCGGAGCTTGCCTTGGCAGGCGCGGTGTTAGCTCAGTCAGTCCATGGCGGCTCTGGGACCTCCTCCTATATGAGGATCTCCTCCTCGTACTCTTCAATCACCTCCTCGTACTTCTGCTCGCCCTCAGTCACGAACTCCACCAACTCGTTCTCTATATGCAAGTAATGACGAGGCAACACTCAATATTAAGGCAACAACAGTTCTTAAAATAAGAATACATCTACTAAGCCACTAAGCTAGCTCTAATGACTAAGACACCGAGCTAACCATCATTCCCATCAAAACAGTAGGGTTTCACCTACAAGTGCTACTTAGTAACTAAAATATATTCTTACTCTTATTAACGATTTCCTATATACTACAACAAGGAGTACTTAGCTATCATATTTCTCAATCTATTTTAAGGCTACAAAAATTACAATAAGCATATAATAATACAATGGATCTACTGTAAAAATTTTATGGTCAAAGCTATTACCAATTTGCCACAAAAATTTCTACAAATACTAACCTAAATAATACTAAACACTCGCAAATGATTTAATTGCCGCTGGTATCAATAAATATATATATAAACTAAATACACTAGCAGATAGAGCATGATTTTAGGAACCTAACAAAGTTAGTTTCACTATTTTTGGACACCTAAAGAATTTAATATAATTTTTCAAAGATCAGCTCAAAACTAAATTAGAAAACATTTGCTAATTTGCTGGAAAAAGGAAAACCAATTCTCGTGCGGCCCATCTGCGTGGCCCACACGCGCGTAGCACGCGTGCACAAACGGCCCGCGACGGGGGAGCCCGCACACGCCAACCATCTTGCAAAAACGCCCTCGCGTTCTCCGATAATACTAGTAACACTATGTGCGCTATTTCAACAGACTACGACTTTGTAATAAAACCCCCGCAAACTCCCTCCTTTACAACAGCATGGTCCTCGGCCACCCGTGAACGTGTCGACGCGGCAACGATGGCATTGGATGGCCATGCCGGCCAGCCGAGACCCGCGCTGGCCCCACTAACGGACCGACCCTCATCTACAACCCTAGCGCCTACACTAGCCTAGGTTATAGGAGCAGAGGAGCTTGCGATAGTGGCGCGACCATGCCAGCCACTGCATGGTGAACTAGCTAGTGCTATAGCATCACTATATTACCCTGGTTGCGGCTGCGGGGATGGTTAGGTCGGAGGTGGCCCGAGTGGTGCTGACCGCGT